CTGGAATATTCTTCTCAACTATTTTATTTTCAACACATGCAAGAAAACTTTGAAAGAGGTCTGAGTGTGATCCAATAGCTTGTCTACTGTACATATCTGCCTAACAACTGAGTATATAGGGAGAGATGAATGTGTGTGGAACCTTCCAGTATGAGAAACTTTGTATGCTCTCAGAGCTGCACATTTTTTATTTCAAAAATGTTACTTTAAAAATGCAGTGCTTGTGTTTATGTGCATGTGTTTCTGAGAGAGAAAGATGTGAGAAGATAGAAGAATGGGCCATCCATGTATTGTAGTAACAAAAGCCAGACCTTAGGCAGGGAGAGCTATAAACTGGACACTTTCTTCATTCTGCAACTTGCAGCGCAGATTCAAGAAATGAAAAAGCAAGGTACTTTTGCCATTGGAAAGAAATTCAAAAGAAAGTATTACCATTTTTGCCCCCTTTTGAAGTCTGCTTTCTTTGTATAACTGAATTTCTAGAGAAGCAGTAAATTTTATGCAAGAGAAACAGATTTATAGTTACTTGCTGGGATGGCAGGTTTACTCTAGAATACTGCTGCTTTCACAAACACCTAGCAACTACTGTACCATGCTCCCAGATGTAATAAGTTACTATAATGTTACCCTTTGATGTGGTGTTCACAGCCTCACATTTGCTCAGCAACCTCGTCAGGGATGTTTTGAAACATCAAAATGTAGTTATTTCTCCTTTATTCATTCCTTTATTTCCATGAAACCTCAGGAAATTAATTTCTTTTCCTATTTATTCAGAAGAATGTGTGCATGTCTGCGTTTCCTTCTCATCTGATCTTCACGCTTCCTGTGACTATTATTACAAGTCATATTAATCTCTGTCCCCAATCTTAAGTGTCTTTGGCTCTAGTACATAACTCAGTGGATTGAATGTCTATCTATGTGGCCTGCTTTGGAAAACTTAAAACAGATACTGCTGCAGTTTATCAAAAGTATATAAAATGAAGTGAGATGTACTGGGAAAGAATGTTCATCAAAGTGAAATCTAGGGATGGGATTTGGGGGTTGTAATGAACAAAAAACAATATAAAAGAGGCTCCTTTTATTTTAGGATTCTTCTAGTTATTTCTGAAAAAGAACCTCTGAAATATAAATCATTTATTTTAAAGGATTATAGAAAATTGAAAATGTCAGCTTTCATTCAGATTTTCACATCTGGATTACTTTTGTTTAACAGATGTATGAAAAATTGCCTCATCCTCTCTTGCAGGTTATTCACATGGTCCGAAAAACTTTTTTTGTTCATGTGGGTGGCACTGGGCATGGGCAAGAGGTTGCCATTATCATTGATGATAATGATGAATTGATGATGGCGATGAATATAAAGTAGTGCCAGCCTACATAGGTCCGATGCTGGTGATTATGATGATTTTTCTTTGCCATCTGTATGTTTCCTGCTGATGAACTGATGAGGAGGAGGATGGTGATGTGATGATAAATGTGAACTTTGAAGTACTGTTAGTGCCTGTAAGTCTGATGACTGATCTTTCTTTCTCGTGTACTGTTGCTGTCTCCAGCTTTCGCAGCGGATGTACTGACTGTCTGTTGCCTTTAGCCTGGAAATTTTTGCCCCTGTCATACTTAAAGACATGACAGGGGCAAGCTGTTGGGAAATGAATTACATGAAAATGAATGAGGCAACTCTGAAAAGAAATGAAACCCAAAAGTCATCTCCATGCACTTCCCTAGTGAAATTTTGTAGAAGCTTAATATTCAGATAAGGTGAAATCAATTGACATTTTGTTGTTGATTTCAATAATACTTGGCTTGTTAATAAATAAAGATGCACATTGACCTTTCGGATGTATTGCTAAACCAAGTTTTCAAAATAATAAGTACCACATGTTACACGTTTCTTCTCCATTTCCAGTATGACCACCTGGAGGAGTTCTGAAGTGTTCACTTCTCCTTTATATGCCTTCTGTTTACCAGGAAAACAGTAAGGATTAAAAGAATCATGTAACTAGGGGTCTAATAACATTGCGATTTATAACATATGAGATACTAATGGGAACACTGCAATTGGGGAAGGAAAGGCACCCCTCTTTTATTTAAAGGTTGGAGAACAAAACAGCATACAGACTTAACAAAGAGAAGTAGGTGTTTGAATCCTGAACAAAATGTGTTCATAACATACAACCAAGAACTGGTGTAATCCCTCTGGAAATGGTGGGCTATTTGCCCTGCTTGGCCCACAAACTGCACATGCCTGAAGGTAGATTCTGAGCTCCTTTACCGAAATTTTCTTCTACCTGTACACCTTCTTTTTCCACTTTTCCAGCTTTTTAGCTCTATTGAATATCTCCATGTTTAACTCCAACAGACATTATGTATTTACTCTTAATTATAGTTAGCAATAATTGCACACAATCTGACCATCAGAATTAAACTAACAGAATCAAGGTTATCGCTTTGAATTTAATTAAACCCATTCCCCATGAAAGTTAACACAGATTTTTGTCTTTCTCTCTCTTTTGTTAAAAGCTCTTTGCTCTCTGTGCCTTGTTTCATGTCAGTATCTCAGCGGTGTTTTACAAGCTTTAATTAAGCCTTGCAAAACCTCTGCTATAACTCTTAAACTATTATTTACCTTGCACTATATACAAAGAACTGAAGCTCAGTATGGCAAATTAGAGATAGGCCTCAAGATTTTGTGTTGTATCTCTGGCTGTTCTTTCTTATATTAATATTGGTAGTAATCTTAAAATTGTAAATCTTAGTGCAGCAGCAAATAGTGCTGAAGATAGAATGTAGCCAATATTATTATCATATGGTGTTACAGAAAGCATAGAGGAATAGTTCAGTTAATTTGTTGTACAATAAGCAAAGAGTCCTGAGACACTTTAATGCCTAACACTAACACTGTAGCATAAACTTTTGTGGTCTGGAAAATGAAGCTGGTCAGCTACACAAATTGATATCAGCTAGCAGATAACATTAACACTTCTTTGCACACATAAGCACAACTACAGAAATTGAGTATGCAGCAAAAGGCCTGAACACAGAAGACAAAGGATGGGATCTGAGGCCTTTTTCTGCACCCTCTTCAAAGTAGAAAAGATAAGAGAGTCACCCCTTTGCAGCAGCAGTAACTAAAGATGTCATTTTTTTTCTTGAGGTGCCAATTTAACACAAAAGAAAAACAACTGTTTTATGCCATATGAAACACAATAACATTCTCGAGAGAATTTAAACTCAACAATCACATTTAAACAGTTCCATGTGTAATTAGGCAGGTGTAGTGGGGACCCAGCACATCACTATTGGCAAGCAATAGCTTATATTCACTTGCACATCTTCAAACATGAGTACTATGTTTTTAATTAAAAATGGGATATAGATGTTCTAAAATGAACTCAGTACAGTGCACCACCCACCACCAATTCCTTTCTGCTGTTTGAACTGGGCAAAGGTATAAACCACTACACACACTGATGGCAGTATTCAAAAACCACTGGGTGAACATTTCTGTCTCCAAGGACACTCTGTTCTTGACCAAAAACAAAAATTAATTCCAGTGGGAGCTTCAACATGCAATTCCTGAACTAGAATACTTCTGAAAATAGATTAGATTAGATTAGGCAGAGTTTAAAATTTTAAATGATACTGTTACGGTTTTTATTTATTATATTAATTATGGATTGCTCTGCATGTGTAACACAAGATTTTTGTGCGTGTGCTGTAAGTTACTTAGGAACTGATATTTCTGATGGAAGATGATCATAACTCAGAAAGAAAGAAAGAAAGAAAGAAAGAAAGAAAGAAAGAAAGAAAGAAAGAAAGAAAGAAAGAAAGAAAGAAAGAAAGAAAGAAAGAAAGAAAGAAAGAAATAATTTAGTAGTTTGGGTTAAATGTGACTTTTTCATGTGTCGTTGTTGTTGTTTAGTCGTGTCCAACTCTTTGTGACCCCATAAACCAGAGCACGCCAGGTCCTCCTATCTTCTACTGCCTCCTGGAGTTTGGTCAAATTCATGTTGGGAGCTTCGATGACACTGTCCAACCATCTCGACCTCTGTCGTCCCCTTCTCCTCTTGCCTTCACACTTTCCCAACATCAGGGGCTTTTCCAGGGAATCTTCTCTTCTCATGAGATGACCAAAGTATTGAAGCCTCAGCTTCAGGATCTGTCCTTCCAGTGAGCACTCAGGATTGATTTCCTTTAGAATTGATAGGTTTGTTCTCCTTGCAGTCCAGATAGTATGAAATCTACTTCATAGCAATACCACATATAAATCCAAGGCAGATATCTATAAATAAGCTTTTAAATAACATGCAGATCTAAATACACACACACACACACCAACTCCTATGTACTCAGTCGTTCATTCACACACACGCATACACATATTCACACATGTCAGGACTCCCTATCTGCTCTCCCCCTCACCCCAGCAGACAACACTTTCCCTCACAAACAAGCCCTCATAGGAATCTTTTCCAAAACAAGCTGAGGATACAAGAAGAAAGCAGTTTATTCTACTTTCTCCTGTTTGCACACTGAGAAAATGAGCGCTCCCTTTCTGAGCGCACAGAGGAAAAAATAACCAGGGTGTTTTTTAAAAAAAGGTGGATTGTAAGTGCACTGACAAAAAAGAGAAAATGTAGGGATGAATAATGGGAGATATTACTCAGATGATGCAGTTTCTCCAAAAAAATTACTGAACCATTTGGTCAGTGTCCTATATAACAAGCAAAGGACCAGGTGTGAAAACCCACATTGACTCACACAATTCGCAACTTATGTCTACTAACCAACCAACCACTGTCTTCTTATTTTGGGACATGTATACATTTATTCACCACGTAGTCCTATTCTTACATCTGAGGAAGTGGATTTGATTTTAAAAAAACTCACATTAAAATATAACAGTTTTTAAGGAGAAAATATGAAAAGACGTTTTTGTCTTTCCTTTTTTTCTTTTGTTTTTGCCATTCAAAATAGTATTAATGTCAGAAGAACTTGCACTTACCTTTGAAATGTTACTCGACCGACTTGTTGAGCGGCCTGGCGATTTTTCATTCTGCAAAAAAAAAATTGTATAGGTTGCTTAATTTGGATGTAATAACCACAGAGAAAATTTAAAATTACATGATTTATTTTTGTCTTATCTTTCGGTTGCAAAGATAATGTTACTGAAAATTACTGTTTGGAATCCAAACAAAAGCATGCTGAAGAACTTAAAAGCATTGAGAAGGATTTTTATTTCTGTAGTCCCTCAACAACAGATTTTTAAGATGTATTACAAACTGCATTTTGAAATCCCGATAGTTTCACAAGTGAATTCACACTGTATGAGGCGCTGTTGATAAAGACACATTAAGTCATAACCCATTTAGGCATGTGGAACTAGTTGTGCATATTCTATTCAGAATTACAATAAACACAACATTTGGTTTGGGAGAATGAAAGGCTGTTGACAGAGAGAATAAGAAAACATGAATAAAGAAAGAATGCCCAGGTCTTCAAAGAGGAAATGTGGAGACTTGAGAAAGTTCCAGTAGTAGATCTATTTCAGTGGCCAAGAAGGAACTGAAAGGGAAATATTACATGTTGTTGCTCTGTGCAGGTGGAAAAGCCAAACTATACAACTAGGACATTCATCTCAGATTAAGTAGCATATATTCCTCAAACTGCCTCTGTGAAGCCTACCTGTAGAATTAAGCTTTAATTTATAAAAACCAAGTCAGCGTAATCTGATATGTCTTGATTTTATTTTTAAAGTAAATAGGATTCAAACCAATTTATTTTCAAGTTCAAGGTGAATCAACAGCATACTATGGAAAAAAGTTTTATAGCAATGCTTTACCTTCAGCAACAAGGACTTTTTCCTTGTTTAAAAAAACATAGTTGTTTCTTCATTAAACTGTCACACAAGGTTATGACCAGCTTCAAAAGAGATTATAGCCAGTTGAAGTTAAAACGTGCCTTATAATATTGGTCAATTCTTTTTCATAACATAATTGAGCTAGAAAGGTTATACTGTATATGTCTAATATGACTGCAACCTAAACCCAAAATATGGGGAGTAACCATATTCATTACACCTGTACCTATATAAGCATGTGTGTATATGCACACACTAAATGAAGAAATGCACATTTTCGCCATCTCACAATTTTAATATAGGTAACAGACACAATCTTAAATGTGACTTGTTTAGTCCTATTAGAATATTGAACAATTATAAAAATCTACTTATGTGTTAGCGCAAAATAGCAGAAATTCAGCAAAATCAGCAGAGTAAAGTCCAGTCCAGGCAGTCCAAATAAATCAAGCACACACCAGCAGCTTCTCCCAACACCAATGTGTATTTACAGGATATATACAGTAGTTCAGTCTGGCAGTGTAACAGGTAGCATTCATCACAAAGTAGGAAGATACATCTACTGTACAGTTTCTCACATATATACATATGCACTTCTGCCTGTGGCCAATCACATTGGATACTGCATCATACACGAGTCAGCACTCATGAGTCATCATGACACAGCATTACCACACACCTGTTCATCATGGCTGCTCATTAATACACTTTGTTCTGCTCAGGCCTGGAAATTATTCTTGACATGATGGCCTCTTTCTTGCTTTAGACTTGAGTACATACAATGACCTGATTCAGAATGAGACTGAGTTGAAAGGACAGAGAAGATGTAATACTCCTCATCTCCTATGATCCCGATGTGGATAAGACTCACCACAGCTGCAATTTATATATTGAAAAACAGTGATCTGGAAGAGCATGACTCCTTTCAGCAGAAATCTCTGGAATGCCACCATCCTATACATGCATACTCTGCTAATCAGCCTGCAAATGGTAATGCATAATGCACAACTCGTTTGCACACCAAACCAAAGAAACAAGCAGCTTATAAGGTCAAAAATATTGCACACAATGGCATGGGTTCAAATGACTTTACATTAATTAACACACAACTACAAAATCTGGTACAATCTTGATTTTTAACTTCTGATTAAGAGTAAATGTGATTTAAACCAATTGTTCAAGTACAAAAAGGCTCCAAAGTCAAAGTAGGTGGCTTAACAAATGTGTACAAATTCTATACTCCCCTGTTGTTCCATACTGCCTTTAACATGCAGCTTACCCTTTATCTATTTAGTTTATCCACTGTGTTAAGATGTTGTACCTATGAAAGTCTCATTTTAACTAAAAAATTTAAAATTAATCACCACTTAGATGAGAGCTGAATAAAGTACAACTACAACTTTCAACATTCCTCACTTTTGCCCACACTTAGGGCCTGACCATCCTGTGAAATTTGGTGTGATCCAGCTAATCCTTAAAAGGATCTTATCTTCTGTTCAATCTATTTTAACTCTTGGTTTGTTGTTTAGTCATTAAGTCATGTCCAACTCTTTGTAACCTCATGGATCAGAGCATGCCAGGCCCTCCTGTATTCCACTGCATCCGGGAGTTTGGTACCAGTCAGCAAAGGCAGAACAAAGAACCTTTTCATATTTCAATGAATTGAACCAATAAGATTGCATGCCCCAGTCCTGTGCTATGAAGATATGGGCCAGCTGTTAAATCACAGTCATAGAATAATTGAGTTGGAAGTGGTCTATAAGGCCATTGAGACAAACCCCTGCTCAATGCAGGAATCCAAATCAAAGTAGATATGACAGATGGCTGTCCCATTTTTTTCTTGAATGCCTCCAGTGTTGGAGCACTCACCAACTCCTGCGGTAATTGGTTTCATTGTCTTACTGCTCTAACAGTTAAGAAGTTTTTCCCGATACTAAGGCCTAAATCTGGTTTCCTGTAGCTTAAGCCCATCATTATGTGTCCTGCACTCTGAGATGATCAAGAACAGATCCTTTCAATATAAAGTGATTTGTCTTAAGTAGAAACATAAGCGGACTAGGTCTTTTTTCCTGTGCCAAACAATGCTACCAGGGAACCATATATCATATCTATATGCCAGTGTGGACAGGCTCTTCATTAGGGCTGCTGGTAGTTGCAGTTCAACGTCTGAGGGACCATTTGACCTAGAGTGGGATGGCATGCTATATCATGGTGAACGTAAATGCAAGCAGAATCTTCCACCAAACTCATGATTGTGGGAAGAATAAGGAGCCAGCTGCAAAAATCAGGAGGGCAACATGCAAGCCTCTGGGGAGTTTATGCTCATTCTTGCAGTTTATGTCTGAACACAACTATTGTCCTAAGAATATTTCAGTATACTTTGGGGTGGGGGATGATAATCTGGGACAGTGCTGAATTTATTGCTATCTAAAAGGAACAAAGTAACTATAAAATTCAGACCATCCTGTATGTGTAAGATCAGTGTGCACCAATTAGCTATGGTACAGGTAACTCTCACGATATGTATGCATACTATGTAAACAAAAATATTATTTATATTTACATTATTCTGAAATGTAATCTTCTTCAAATACTTGCATATGTTAACAAACTACTGTTTCATGTCTAGGATATATGCAAATATCCAAGCACTGCTGTCACTGTACCATTTGTATCAGATGCCTCCCTTATTCCTCCATTACCATATCTATGTCATCCTGCAATATAATGATTGTGTCAACATTATAATAAGTAACCATCTAATTTGTGATATATCTCTGTGTATCATGGTCATCCTCTAACACTTCCTTTCTAAATTACTGTACTGGCAATTACAAATAAACAGCAAGATATCTCCACTATTTGATTTACATTTATTTAACATTAGAGACTAGCTAAGAGAACCTGCACATTTGTTTGTGCACATTTGTCTGCACATTTGTCTGCTGGTGTCCATAAACACCAGCAGAGCTTCAACAAAAAGAAGAAAGTTGCAAACTCAACAAAGCCTGGCTCCCAGCACTGAAAAATACAGCCTGCAAAAAGTCAACGAACTCTACCCAGCCTCAAGGAGCAGGGATCATTGCACACAAAAGACCAGCTAACGACCCCCATCAATCACTGTGACAGATAATCTCTCCCCCTTATCACAATAATAAACTTCCTCACTTATAGAGAAATGGCTATTTTTCATGAAACACTAAAGTCAACAACGTTGAATATTACCAACAAAATTTTCTATATACTTGTTCATATAGAATGGTCTACTCAATCCTGTGGATTTCTCTCTCTCTCTCTATTCTTGTTGTTGCTACATACCATTAAGTTGAAACTGACTTACAGTGACCCTAACAGGTCTTTCAAGGTAAGTGAGAAATTTAACAAGTGGATTTACCAGTTCCACACCCGAGTAAGCTTTCACGACATAAGTGGGGATTTGAACCCAGGCCTGCATCACTCTAGTCACTACACCACACTGTATATCTCTCTATTCTTGCCTACCTATATTCAAAATTAAAATTAAAGGCCATGAGATACACTAGAACTGAGCAGACCTTTTAATGATAGGACTAGACATGAGAACTTCTTATTTGTTCCCCCCCCAGGGAAATGAATGTGAACTGTCACCCACAGATGCTGCATTCCACCTCCCAGAACCAGCCAGGGCCACTTACCAAGCCCCACATGATGCTCAGCTCTATTGTTGTTGTTGCACTGATCATGGAAGCAGCCCAGCTGGCCCTCCCCCCACCTCCACATGCCACCAACCACTCATCAGCTGAATGGCCCAGCCAGTTCTGGGGGCCAGGATTGGACCCAATGAATATGAAGGGAAATGAATATGAAGTGCCCATGTCTACACATGACAGTTTGGAGGTCATTAACACATATAGTCACCAGGCAGATTTCCCTTTCGAACACTTATGTGAGGAGACTTGTCTCAGAATCCTAGAGGTAATGTTTACTCAGAGTGCTAAAACAAAACATAGCTATCACCTGTTTTTCTAAAAGGGGAAATACTTTGAATATTCCTTACAAAATTGTATGCTAATTACCCAAATATACATCACAAAATATCCCTGTTTCTGGAGGATAGTCACTCCATTACGTTCTTTTTAAAAAAAATCTCAGGTTTTTCACCTCTTTGAAGAAAATTCTCTTTTTAGTCTACTTCTGTGACCTTTTCCTCCAAATAT